CTGGCTTTTTCTTTTTGCTTATGTGGTGCTGAGGAATCGAACCCAGGGCCTCGAGCATGCAAGGCAAGCGCTCTACCACTGAGCCACCTTCCCAGCCCTTGAGCTTCCTTTTGCTCAAGGCTGATGCTCCACCAGTTGAACCACAGTGTCACTTCCAGCTTTTTTCTGAGTATTTTATTGGTGATAAGTCTCTCGCAAGCTTTCCTACTCAGACTGGCTTTGAAAACCTTCAAATCTCAGTTTCCTGAGTAGCTAGGATAACAGGCTTGAGACTTCAGGGCCCAACTTCCTACTTTTTATGTGCTACTACATCAGAAAGTTTGTGTGTGTGGCCTGGGAATGTGGCTTAGTGGTAGAATGTTTGCCTAACATGCATGAAGCCCTGGGTTTGATTCCTCATTACCATATAAACAGAAAAAGCCAGAAGTGGTGGTGTGGCTCAAGTGGTAGAATGCTAGCCTAGAGCAAAAAGCTCAGGGACAGTGCCCAAGCTCTGAGTTCAAGCCCCAGGACTGGCAAAAAAAATAAAATGACCAACATAAAAAAGGATCGAAGGTGTGACTCAAGTGGTAGAAATCTCTGCTTAGCGAGCTCAGTGCCTTAGTTCAATCCTCACCACTTCAAACGGAACAAAAAGGCATTGTTTCCTTTTTTTTTTTTTTTTTGTCAGTGGTGGGGCTTGAACTCTGGGCCTGGGCTCTGTCCCTCAGCTCTTCAGGTCAAGGGGAGCGCTCTACCACTTGAGCCACAGTACCACATCCAGTTTCCTGAGTGGTTTATTGGAGATAAGAGTCTCACAGACTTTCCTCCCCCGGCTGGCATTGAACTGTGATTCTCAGATCTCAGCCTCCTGAGTAGCTAGGATTATAGGTGTGAGCCACCCTCGCCCGGCTTTGATTCCATTTTAAGAACTCAGCGCTGACTTCCCAAAGGTCCCATGTCCAAACAGCATTGAATTAAAATTTCAGTTTATCATTTTGGAGGAGGGACATAGTTTTAAGTTTGTACCAAAATGGTAGTATACCTCAATGTAAAACACAAAACTCTCTAGATGATAACCTAGGAGAAAATGCAGGTGACATTGGGCTTTAACAGTGTATTTTAAAATACTACATCAAAGCTGGGCGCTGGTGGCTCACGACTATAATGCTAGCTACCCAGGGGGCTGAGAACTGAGGATTGTGGTTCAAAGCCAGCCCCTGCAGGAAAGTCTATAAGATTCTTTTTTTTTTTGGTCAGTTATGGGGCCTGAACTCTGGACCTGGGTGCTGCCCCTCAGCTCTTCAGCTCAAGACTAGCACTCTACCACTTGAGCCACAGCGCCATTTCTGGCTTTTTCTGCTTATGTGGTGCTGGGGACTGGAACCCAGGGCTTCATGCATGTGAGGCAAGCGCTGTACCACTGAGCCACCCTCCTAGCCTATAGGTTATTCTTTGTAACACATATGTACATGTGGTTTCCTGAGAACTAAATTTTGTTCCTGCAGATACTGAAATTCAGATTTGTGATTTTATATTTTCTTTTCTGTTGAGGTGGGACAAATGATCTCTTTGCCGTTTTTCACAATTTCCTACTTTCCTAGGATTTTCTTCCTTTCATGTCCAGATGAAAACACAAGAGGGAAAATAGAAATTTTATTGCTCATAGCTTTTGGGATTCCCATAATTCCAAAAGCTAGAAGAACATGGTCAGCCTCTGAACAGCCTATGAGAGATGGGTTGGGATTGAGGGCCTTTAATGGTGTCTAAAACATAGCAACAGGGGAAGGGGTTGGAGGGTTTAAAGCAAATATGCAGAAGAGATGTCTGGTGCTAGTGAAGTAGTCTAGATTTTGTATTTAGTCAAGCAGCTAGATATGGATGTGGGGCCTGCAGCATTGGTTCCCACTGGGGAACTAAGAGGGAGTAGCTGGTTGTTCCAGGCACCGATGGCTCAAGCTGTCATCCTAGCTACTCAGGAGGCTAGGATCTGAGGCTCACCATTCAAAGCCAGCCTAGGCAGGAAAGTCCATGAGACTCATCTCTAATTGACCTCCAGAAAGCTGGAAGTGGCCTTGTAGCTCAAAGTGGTAGAGCACGAGTCTTGAGCTAAAGCAGCTCAGGGGCAGCACTGAGGCCCTGAGTTCAACCCCACAACCCCCCAGAAAAGCTCAGTGGTAGCACCCAGGCCCAGCAAAAATAAACAAATTAAAAATACATTAAGAGAGAGTGATAGGAGAACTGCTGTGACTGGGTAAATATCCCCCAAAGTTTCCGTGTTAAAGGCTTGGTTCCTAGAGTGGTGTTATTGGGAGATTGGGGCTTGTGGTGTTCCATAGTTCATTAGGTTTATACTCTACAAGGGACTGTGGGTCCTCTTACATCCTGACTCACCATGCACTCCCTACCATTGTTATCTGGTACCCCAACCAGGGACCTTAAAGCACTGGCCTGGGCAGGATCTTGATCATCCAGAACCTTTTATCTTTTATCATGTGTGTGTGTGTGTGTGTGTGTGTACCTTTTATCTTTTATCGTGTGTTTGTGTGTGTGTGTGTGTGTGTGTGTGTGTGTGTGTGGTGTCCTGGGACTTGAACTCAGGGCCTGGGTGCTATCCCTGAGCTCTTTTGCTGTACTACTTTGAGCCACGGTGCCTTCTGGCTTTCTGATGGTTAATTGCAACTGAGTCCAGATCCTCACATCTCAGCCTCCTGAGTGGAGACCCTGTCCCCAGCCTGGTTTGGTGGCTCAGGTGCCTCCTCTGAGCCTTGGGCAGAGGCCGCTTGCTGCCCTGGTGCGGCCCTCCCCCTCGGGACCCAGCCCGCGCCGCAGCCGCGTGGGGGCAGCAGAGGGCCGAGGGCCGGCCGGCCCTGCCCAGCCACACTGGCCGCCAGGGTTCACTGTCACACTGGCCGGGTTGTCTGCCTTCCCAGGAAAACAGGGGCGGCCGGCTGCGGATGAGGGTGATATACTGAGGAAACAAAAGCCTCTTTAGACCAGAGGCAGTGCTACCTGAATGGAGTCGTTGCTACCCACCACCTACTTTCTATTTTTTTTGCCAGTCCTGGTCTTGAACTCAGGGCCTGGGCGCTGTCACTGAGCTTCTTTTGCTCAAGGCTAGCACTCTACCACTTGAGCTACAGCGCCACTTCCAGCTTTTTCTGTGTATGTGGTGCTGAGGAATCGACCCAGGGCTTCATGTGTGCTAGGCAAGTGCTCTACCACTAAGCCATGTTCCCAGTCCTTAACCATCTACTGAACTTTGCCTGTCACATGTTTTTCTACCTGAGCATTGGATTTTTTTTTTCTTTTTTGGTGCCAGAACTGGAGCTTGAACTCGGGGCCTGAGTGCTATCCCTGAGCTTTTTTTTTTTTTTTTGCCAGTCCTGGGGCTTAAATTCAGGGCCTAGGCACTGTCCCTGAGCTTCTTTTGCTCAAGGATAGCACTCTACCACTCTACCAGCTACAATACCACTTCTGGATTTTTCTGTTAATGTGAATCGAATTCAGGGTTTCATGCATGCTAGGCAGGAATTCTACCAGTAAGCCATATTCCCAGCCCTCCCTGACCATTTTTGCTCAAAGCTAGCACTTTGCCACTTGAACCACAGCTACACTTCTGCTTTTTTGTGTGGTTAATTGAACATCAGAGTCTCAGGAACTTTGCAGCATGGCTGGCTTCAAACTGCAGTCTTCTGATCTTAGCCTGAGAAGCTGGGTTTACAGGCTTGAGCCTGTGGGGTCAACCAGAGTACCTGCTTTTTGCATAATGATTAGTATGAGTATCAAATCATAGAGATTATTTCTGAAATGTGATTCATCTATCAATTCTTTTGTTTTTGTGTAACAGATTCTGAGATTGGGACCAAGAAGGAGCTATCCATTCTAAGCCAGAAATACTCTGAAGAATTAAAAACTCCAGAATTTATATTCAGACGCTCAAAACCTAATTTACAGGCACCTGAGTCCCAGGAAGCTCAGGGCCATGAGTATCAGACAGAAGGAAAGCAGGGATGCTCTGCTGAGCAGAACGTGAAGAAATCCTGTCTTCACAGGAGAGCTTTTAGAGAGGAGCAACCTACAGAACAGAGACCTGAGGTGTGTGGTGTGTCTGATGGACACTTGAAACCAAACCAAAGTATTGTTAGACTTCAAGGAAATAAAATAGAGGACAGAGCCTTTAAATGTGGCATATGCAGCAAAGCCTTCAAATATAAGTCAGACTTGAAGCGCCATCGGAGAGGCCACACCGGGGAAAAGCCTTATGTGTGTGGTCGCTGCGGACGAGCCTTTACTCACAGCTCAGGCCTTAATATGCACCGTCAAGTTCACACTGGGAATAAACCATTTAAGTGTAATGACTGTGGGAAAACCTTTGGACTCAACTCCCACCTTCGTCTGCACCAGAGAATTCACACTGGAGAAAGACCTTTTGGGTGTAACCAATGCGGAAAAGCCTTCAGTCGCAGCTCATCTCTTATTCAGCATCGTGTGATACACACAGGACAGAAACCTTACAAGTGTAACGACTGTGGGAGAGCCTTCAGCCAGAGCCCTCAGCTGACTCAGCACCAGAGAATTCACACAGGTGAGAAGCCCCATGCATGCACTTGGTGTGGGAAGGCCTTCAGTCGCAGCTCCAGCCTTATTCAGCATCAGAGGATTCACACAGGAGAGAAGCCCCACAAATGCAATCAGTGTGGGAAGGCCTTCAGTCAGAGCTCTAGCCTTTTCCTCCATCACAGGGTTCATACCGGAGAGAAGCCCTATGTGTGTAGTGAATGTGGCAGAGCCTTTGGCTTCAACTCTCACCTTACTGAACATGTGAGAATTCACACTGGAGAGAAGCCTTATGTTTGCAATGAGTGTGGCAAAGCCTTCAGCCGGAGTTCTACACTTGTACAGCACCGCAGAGTGCACACAGGGGAGAAGCCCTATCAGTGCACTGAGTGTGGGAAAGCCTTCAGCCAGAGCTCCCAGCTCACCCTACATCAACGTGTCCACACTGGAGAGAAGCCCTATGAATGTGGAAGCTGTGGGAAAGCCTTCAGCCGCAGATCAACCCTAACTCAGCATCAGCGGGTTCACACAGGGAAGATTCCTCTTGGAGGAAAATGCAACCCAGCTTTTGCTCATGACTCCAGCCATCCATCTACTAGAGAGAGATGTGGCAGGGCGTTCAGCCATGGTGAAAACCTTGTTTTGCACTGGACAGTTCACACTGGTTGGAAGACCCTGGGATGTAATGAATGTGGGAAAACGTTCAGCCCTACCCAGCCCACTATGCATCAGAAAACCAATGCTGGGGACAAACCTTATAAATGCCAAGAATGTGCAAAGGCTGTTAGTGGGGGTTCAGCCCTTATTCAACACCAGGTAACTCCTGGTGGAGACAAGTCCCTATTGAATGATGGATCTGAAAGATACTTTATTCATATCAAAAAGATTTTCCAAGAAAGACGTTTTGAGTGTGATAAATGTGAGAAACAGTAATAGTTCCTTTTATGTTAGATGAGATGGGAGAATGGAAGAAGGCACAAAAATTACTAGCAAAACAAAAGTCTATAGATTAAATGACTTCAATTAAATTTGAAAGTACACACTGAGATAATTCATGCTACAAAGCAGTTATCTGTATAGAGGTCACTGTTGTGCTCATGGGTGAGCTGTGTGGCACCACATCCAGACATCACACTGAAGGAGAGGAGGCCAAAACAGTACACCTACCTAATCTGGGACTGCCCCCAGAATTCTGGGACTTGGATAGTCCAAGTCCAGGCTTGTGGATGAGAGTACCCAGCTTCAGGCCCACTGGGCAGATTGGAGCCTTCCCTCTACCTCCCCATGTCCAGCTGTCTCCCCCTGCCCACAGGAGCCAACTTCTGAGAAGCTCAGCAGAGGAGCAGACCTCAAGGATCAATAAGGCAGTGACAACATGTGTCTTTTTGTTGTTGTTGTTGGTCAGTCTTGGGGCCTCAACTCAGAGTCTGGGTGCTGTCCCTCAGCTCTTGCTCAAAGCTAGCACTCTACCACTTGAGCCACAGCTCCACTTCCGGTTTTCCACTTCTGGTTTTCTGGTGGTTAATTGGAGATATGAACTTTCCTGTCCAGGTTGGCTTTAAATCATGATCCTCAGATCTCAGCCTCCTGAGTAGCTAGGATTACAAGTATGAGCCTCTAGCAGCTGGCTCATGTCTCTGCTTTTGAGAATTGTGATTACCAGTGAACTTGTTCTGTTGGCTCAGTATGTAGTCCAGGTCTCAACCTCATGATCCTCTTGCCTTAGCCTCCCAGATGCTGAGATTATAAATATGACAACCATGACCTGCTCACCAATAAGATTCTGTAATATCCAGGTTTCTTGAGGTGTAGTTTGTATAAAATAAAATTTATTTCTCTCCCCTCCCCAGCATTCTTAGAGCTCATCTTTTTATTAAAATGATAGGAAAGTTTCTTAGGAAAAAATACATTTTCAATATACTGAAAGCAAGTCATCTCTAAAATGAGAATGACCTAGAATTCACCATTTTTAGTGTATAGTTCTATAAATTTTGATAAAAACATAGTTTTGTAGCCACCACCACAATCAAAATATAGAACATTTCCATCCCTTTCCAGAATTATTTCCTGTCCCTGTAGCCTCAGGCCCTACTTGCAGGATCACACCATGTAGCCTTCTGAGTGTGGCATATTCTATGTAACACAATGGAGTTTTATCCATGTTGTTGCATGTATCAATATTTTACTTTTCTTATTGTCAAGTAGCATTCCATTGTATGGATATTTGTAAAGGATATTTGTATATTCCCCATTTGGAGCAACTATGAATAAAGCAGGTACATTTAACTTCCTGCTCTTTTGTAAACTTAGCTCTTCAGTTCTCTTGGGAAAATACCTAAGTTGAGGGGTTAGTCATTGATCAGATGGTAGGATACCTGCCAATGAGCATAAAGTGTTAGATAACCAACTTGAGTTCCAGTCTCCCACAAGAAAAATAAAAAAGCCAGAAAATACCTTAGTGGAATTACTGTGTCATTTGCAAACTTATGCCTGACTTTTTTTTTCTTTCCAGTCCTGGGGCTTGAACTCAGAGCCTGGGACACCTGAGCCTCTTTGTACTCAAGGCTAGTGCTTTACCCCTTGAGTCACAGCCACTTCTGGCTTTTTCTGAGTAGTTTATTGATGATAAGAGTCTCACAGACTTTTCTGCCTGGATTGGCTTTGAACCACCATCCTCAGATCTCAACCTCCTGAGTAACTAGGATGACAGGCGTGAGCCACTGGGCCCAGCTGGCTTCTGTTTTTAAAATTTCATGGAAAAGCACTGGAATAATCTCTAGGGACGTTAATTACTCCTGAAATTTTGATTTTCAATTTTGAAGCTCCATCTGTAGCATCTAGGTACTCCTTTTTCTTTTTTGTTTTTATTATAGGGCTTGAACTTAGGCTTTGGAGCTGTCTTTGAGCTCTTTTGCTCAAGGCTAGTGCTCTACCCTTTACAGCCACACCTGTACTTCTTTTCTTGAGTGGTTAATTGAGAAGAGACCCTTGTGGGGACTTTTCTGCCTGGGCTGACTTCCAACCACAATCCTTAGATCTCAGACTCCTGAGTAGCTAGGATTATAGGTGTGAGCCACCAACACCTGGCTCTTACTGTGTTTTTTTGTTTTGTTTTTTTGTCCGTTGTGGGTCTTGAACTCTGGGCCTGGGCGCAGTCCCTCAGCTCTTCAGCTCAAGGTGAGTGTTCTAACACTTGAGCCACAGTGCCATTTCTGGTTTTCTTGTGGTTTATTGGAGACTTTTTTTTTTTTTTCAGATGTGGGCCTGAACTCTGGGCCTGGGCACTGTCCCTCAGCTCTTTAGCTCAAGGCTAGCACTCTACCACTTGAGTCACAGCGCCACTTCGGGCTTTTTCTGCTTATGTGGTGCTGAGGAATCAAATCCAGGGCCTCATGCATGTGAGACAAGGGCTCTACCACTGAGCTACCTTCCCAGCCCCTCTAGTGGTTTATTGGAGGTAAGAGTCTCAAGAACTTTCCTGCCCAGGCTGGCTTTGAACCATGATCCTCAGATCTCAGCCTCCTGAGTAGATTACAGGTGTGAGCCACCAGTGCCTGGCTTTTTACTATATTTTGAGACAGGGTCTTGCTATGTAGCACAGCCTGGCTTCCAACTCATGATACTACTGCCTCTGCCTCCCCAATTCTGGAATTATAGGCATGCACTACCACACTTAGCTTTTGTGTGGTTTTTGGTTTGAATGGTATGTTTCTTGGTTTGGTTTTTGTTTTTTGCCAGTCCTGAGGCTTGAACTTGGCCTGGGCACTATCCCTAGCCTTCTTTTGTTCAAGGTTAGCACCCACAGTGCCATTTCTGGATTTGTCTATTTATGTGGTGCTGAGGAATTGAACCCAGGGCTTCATGCATGCTAGGCAGGCACGCTACCACTAAGCCACATGCCCAGCTGGTCTGATTTTTGTTGTATGCCTTTTGTGCTGGTATTGGAGCTTATACTTGGAACTTCAGGCTCTCCCTCATCCTCTTTTATGCTCTACCACTAAAGGCATAGTCTTTGGTTTTTATTTCCCTATTGTGGGGAATCAAACCCAAGGCCTTCTGCATGTTAGGCAAGTGATCTGAGACCATTTCTGTCTTCTAGGGGAACCTGAGGTCGTTTTATGTTTGCTTTAACATTTGTTTTGTGATTTGTTCCACTTTCCCCCTACTGACCTTTTTTTGTTGTTGTTGGTTGTGGGGCTTGAACTTTGGACCTGGATGCTGTCCCTCAGCTCAGCTCAAGAATAGCGCTCTACCATTTGAGCCACAGCGCCACGTCCAGTTTTCTGGTGGTTAATTGGAGATGAGTCTCACAGACTTTACTGCCCTGGCTGGCTTTGAACCTCGATCCTCAGATGTCAGCCTCCTGAGTAGCTAGGATTACAGGCATGAGCCACTGGCACCAGCTTCCTACTGATCTTTTTTTTTTTGTCGGTCGTGGGGCTTGAACTCTGGGCCTGGGCGCTGTCCCTCAGCTCTTCAGCTCAAGGCGAGCGCTCTACCACTTGAGCTACAGTGCCACTTCCAGTTTTCTGGTGGTTTATTGGAGATAGGAGTCTCACAGTCTCTCCTGCCCGGGCTGGCTTTGAACCTCGATCCTCAGATCTCAGCCTCCTGAGTAGCTAGGATTACAGGCGTGAGCCACCAGCACCCGGCTCCTACTGATCTTCTATCTCCATGCTATGAGATTCTTAAATCCAGAACCAGTTCTGAATGTGGCCTAAGTAGAGGCATTCTAAAAATAATAAAGGAAGCCATAACTTGTCTGAAAGGTCCTGTCTCCCCTGCCATGGGCTTGCTCTGCCTTGGATAGAGCATCAGCTTTCTGGAGCTCTTCCTCATCTCTAAAAAGCAAGTAAAACAGATACCCTACTAAACAACTGCCTTTAAAATCAAGTAATTCTTTTTTTTTTTTGGGGGGGTCTGGTCGTGGGGCCTGAACTCTGGGCCTGGGTGCTGTCCCTCAGCTCTTCAGCTTAAGGCTAGCGCTGTACCACTTGAGCCACAGCGCCACTTCCAGCTTTTTTCTTTTTGCTTATGTGGTGCTGAGGAATCGAACCCAGGGCCTCAGGCATGCAAGGCAAGCGCTCTACCACTGAGCCACCTTCCCAGCCCCAAGAAAGTAATTCTTTTTTTTTTTTTGGTTGTGGGGCCTAAACTCCACTTCCAGCTTTTTCTGTTTATGTGGTGCTGAGGAATCGAACCCAGGACCTCATGCATGCAAGGCAAGCATTCTACCACTGAGCCACCTTCCCAGCCCCCAAGAAAATAATTCTTGATAGGCACAGTGGTTCAAGTCTGTTCCTGAAATCCGGAGGATCAGGTTTTAAGATCAGCCTGGATAGAAAAGTTCACTACAAACTAACTAGCAAAAGCAAAACTGGAGGCATGCCTCAAGTGGTAGAGCACCAGCCTAACAAATACAAAGCCCTAAGTTCAAACTCTAATATTGCACCCCTTCTCCCCCAGAAAAGTGTCTTCCTTTTTTTTTTTCCAGTCCTGGTGTTCTAAGGAAACTCAGTCAGAAAAAACAGAGAAGCCACTACTGAAAAGGCCAAATTATGAGTCTTTATTGGAGAGTTGGAGGACTGCTGGCGGACTCATGTCTCAAAGACCAGCAGCCTCAAGTTCTGTCAGCACAAAGCTTATATAGGCCAAAACCACACAAGGTGTGTGGAACCCAACACGTGTATTTATTATACATGAGCAAAGCAAACCAGATGAGGACACTTAAAGCCAACAGAAGTGTTAAATAAAAGCAAACCATCTAGGGAAACAATCGGGAAATCAAGGGCCAATTGTCTAGGTGAGGCATAGACCCAGTCTTTTTTTTTTTTTTGGTCAGTCATGGGGCCTGAACTCAGGGCTTGGACGCTGTCCCTCAGCTCTTCAGCTCAAGGTTAGCACTCTACCACTTGAACCATAGCACCACTTCCAGCTTTTCTGCTTATGTGGAATCAAACCGAGGGCCTCATGCATGCAAGGCAAGCACTCTACCACTGAGCTATCTTCCAAACCCAGATCCAGTCTCCTTACTTCACTAAGGGCTTGAACTCAGGGCCTGGGTGCTCTTCCTGTGTTTTTTGTTTGTTTTTTAAATTGGTCATGGAGTTTCAACTTGACACCTGGTTGCTGTCCCTGAGCTCTTTTGCTCAAGGCTAATGCTCTATCACTTTGAGCCACAGCACCACTTCCAGTTTTCTTTTTTTTTTTTGTCGGTCGTGGGGCTTGATCAGTTCTTCAGCTCAAGGCGAGCGCTCTACCACTTGAGCTACAGCGCCACTTCCGGTTTTCTGGTGGTTTATTGCAGATAGGAGTCTCATGGGTCTTTCCTGCCCGGGTTGGCTTTGAACCATGATCCTCAGATCTCAGCCTCCTGAGTAGCTAGGATTACAGGCGTGAACTATAAGTGCCCAGATAAATTCATTAATTTGAGCTTTGGATAATTTATAATCTTT